CTTGGATGGAATGCCCACTTGCAAGCACTGCCTGCATCAATTTGAGACATGGCCGGCCTTCACGTATCATGTCAATTCCAGAAGTTGCGTCGACATTCGCAGGTTCTTTTCGGACACAAATGTTGATGTGCTAGCCGGTCTCAGTGAAGCACTTATGCTGCAAGATGACATGGTACAGCTCGCCGCTGATCTGTCATGGCAGCAGTTGGCCACACATCCCAGAGTACAAAACAGTCTGCGTCATTGCATGGAGTGCCATCACTGGAGCGTTGAACCCACATATGTCAGGAGACACATGAAGGCCAAGCGTGCGGACACATGGTGGATTGTGCAAGCAGTCGCTCAGTCTATTCTAGATTTGGCTTTGAGCAGTCCCTGCAAGTACTGTGGAGCAAAGTTCAGCCAGCGGCGTCAGCGCCTCAGAAGTTGTCCAGCCATCTTCAATGGTCACTACTTGAAGAGAAGACTGAGCTTGAAGCCTCACCTGCCCTCCACCATCGCGTTTCCATCAGGTAATGGCAGCTCTGGCGGAGGCAACGAGGGAGTTGGAAGCCATTCAGGCTTTGATGCCAGGCTTGACAGCGCAGGTGGATGCAACAATGCTCGCAGCTCCAGCCTCGGCACAGGACGAAGGGCGGCCAACAGAGAAGACGGCCAGGGACGGGGAGGATCAAGGCGTGGATCCGGGAAGGGAATCAAAATGGTTCAAGCCAGACAGCAAAGGAGCCAATCCCAAAGGCAAGGGAAACTCGGCGAATTCTTCAGAAAATTAAAATTCGTGGCAAAAACGGAGCTGGCGTCAGGATCAGGGAGAGAATGCCCACATCCGGGACCTCAAGCAACAAGTCGAGCTCCTGAGCACGCTGATTCTACGCCGCGACAGCCAGATCATGATAAACCGCCAGGACACAGCGTTCGTGTTTTTCATGCGCACGGACTTCCCCAACAGCCTGGCGGTCTCGACCTATACGGTGGCCAAGGTCTGGAAGGAAACCAAGGCCAATGCCCCGGAAAAGCTGAGCCACCCTCTGAGGGTTATGTTATTTCAGCACGTGTTGACGACAACAGCTGCACGTCTGGAAGCACTGGAGAGCGCACCAGCACAGATCGAAAATGCCAAGAAGCTGGGCTGGGTGACGGAGGATGGTACACGGAGGTGGATCCGGCCATCCAAAAAGTGCCAATGCAGGCAGCCAAGGGCATGCTGTTGGAAGCAGTCACTTTGGCGAAGGAGTGCTACACGTCCTCTTTCAGAGGAATATCAAAGCCCAACGCTGACATTCAGTCTGGAAGTGGGCCTGAGAACTCAGGAGGCCAATCGTATCTGGCAGATTCTGAACAACCTGTCCCAAACATCGATATGGGTGGCGGCAGGAACTTTCTGCAGGCACGAGAGACTCCAACGCTCGGCTCTGGCAACGAAGATTGCTCAAGGCTCTTCGAATTACTCAGGCGGGTCAAGTTTGGGAACTCCGGCTTTCATTGCTACACCAATGCCACAATGCGATGCCTGCTGTGGACCATGCGCACTGTTCAGGTTCTACGTGATCAGATGGACCTCGATCTGTGCAGGATCATTGAAGGTGCCTGGACCTCAGATACATTTCACTTCTGGGACAATGTGGTTTGGAAGGCGAAGTTCTTCAACTGGAGAGATCCTCATAGCCAGCATGACGTGGGTGAATTTCTCAGATATTTGCTTGGTAAATGCCCCCGCATACAACATCATTTTCAATTCCACTGGGAGGCCAGAAGGGCCCATGGCTCTGGACTTGAAACAGTTCAGATTTTGGATGCAGCGGACTCAGTTATCTTGGTTCTTGACTCCAATATTCGGGACGCAGATAATTCCTTGCTGGAGACGGTCACTATACAGCAGCTTATCCATGAATGGGAATGCCAGGAGAGCACGCATGGCTTCAGCCCGGTGCCTGAGAAGCTTGCAACTCTGGCTGGAAGATTCCAGATGGTGGATGGCAGGTTAGTGAAACGTCACGTGCATATTATTCCCAACCAAAAGATTTACATTCCAACATATGCTGCAGATGTCTTTTGCACCAGTGGATTCCGGTTTAATTCATATATTGAGCACGGAGGCGAGGACCTTCATTCGGGGCACTACACGGCAGTTCTGCATTTCAATAACACCATGTGGAAAGCGGATGACAATGCCACAAGGAGCCTTATGAATGAGCAGCAAGTGCGAGATGGTTTCTCTAGAACATACATGTTCTTTTACAACCGTGAGGTGTTGTAGCAACCTTTTCTTGTAGTGCCAAATTTGGAGATACTCTTCTGCTTTAGGGCCCCCGGGCCGGGAAGAGTATGCATGTGCCTGGGATGTGCTAAGCACAGCGTTGCGCCCGATACTAATATCTGTCCCACAGCGGACGCTAGCAGAGATCGGACTTTGCAGCGAAGGAAAGTGAAAGTGAAAGCAGTCGCTGTCATTGTTGTTGACGCCAGGCCATCTGGACCACTAGGCGCGAACAAACACGAGCTATCTACACCGTCCCAAAGATTTTGCCCGCCTTCCCAACCTTTGTACGCCACCTGATCCGCGCCGTCGGGCATGCGACGCTTTTTTTCAATTTATTCATTCTACACTCCATGCTTTGCCCTCTTCGGGCCGCTGCCCTTCCAGGAGAGGATTCGCGTGCTGTCAACTGAACAAAGCCGCGGTTCACTGCCCAGCCTTCATTTTCTGCAGCAGGCGCTCGCCAGCTACGCCCAATCACAAGCCATGGAGCAGTTGCACACACACTTAATTATAGTCCAAGGCTCAATGATCGCCCGCTGAGCATGCGCCCATTCAATCGTGGTTGGCCTGGACCAGCTGGACTTGTTGGATCTTTGCTTGAGCTTCCTAATTAGCGGGGACGGACAAGCCCGAAAGCCTTCCTTCCTGCAGTTTTTCAAGCCAAAGGAACACGAAATACGCTTCCCTGTTGCTTGTTTTGGTGTGCTTGGGCAGGAACAGGGCAACCACTGCGAACGTGAATCCCGATTCAGAGCGATGCATTTACAAGAACATTTTTGCTTTCAGATTTCAAATATGTACCATTTAGGCTGGCTGCTGCTCATGATCATGAGGACGTGTCAATTTTGTCGCGTTCTTGAATGCCAGTCATGTTATTTTGTTGACATGCAAAATCATCCGGCTGCTTGGGTTCGGCTAGTTTCAGGGGCCATTGCGGCGCACATGTTGCCAAAAAAGGACGGATGCAAAGGCAATTTTTTACAACACCCTTGATGTTGACGTTTCATGCACTAACATCCGGTTTGATTTCTTTGGGTGTTACCCTTTCGCACCATGACGTGGGTGGCTACAACCAACTCTTTATTCTGGCCTTAGGATTTTAGGAACCCGAATGAAATCAATACATCCATTCGTGAAATTTCCTAATCATCGGAACAGTGTCCGTGTTTCGTGTACATGCATACAACAAACAAACATTGCAAAATTTCATGATTGTCGTCGGGCTGTTTAGTCAGTTTTCCCGTTCTATGATTTTTTCAGGAGTTCCCCATATCACGGGGCACGGCGCCCTAGTTTAGGTATTGTGGCCATGCCAACGAAGCGAAGGGGTTGACGTGGATGAAATCATGAAGCACTTGCAAGGGTGGACCATGCCGGTATTAGGTTCTAGTTTTCCGACTCTGACGCTTCTCAAACAGGTGACATCTGAGTGCTGATTGCTTGGAGGCTTCTGAGTTTGCTGCGCTCAAATTGCATGGTATCAATGCCCGTGATTGACGTGCGTCTACACAGGCCATGTGCGTGCTTGAAACAAAGGGTCGCTACAACATCCGAAAAGCCAGCACGACATGTTCGCAGCTAGTGTGGGTTGGTCTTTGATTCTGTGTTTGCAATCATCTTGAGTATGACTGACTGACTGACTGACTGACTGACTGACTGACTGACCGACCGACCGACCGACCGACTGACTGACTGACTGACTGACTGACTGACCGACTGATTGAATCATCTTGACACAAACTATGTTCAATCCAACATGTGGCGCGTTTCACGCAAGACCCACATGCATAGCATAACGGTTTGTCACGTTTGTCCGAACAATGTTCGTTTGGGTATAGCACGTATAGGTTGGTTCGAAGACAGCATGCATGCAAATTGTTAAAGTTGTTTCACAGCTATCATTGCAATGGTTGAGGCACCTTCTCGTGCATAATGTGCATGGATTCTAGTAAGGATCAATGACAGTCAACGCATCAAAATGCGTTACAAAACAAAGATGCATGCACCGGTGTCGCAACATTTGCGGTAGTCCCATAGATGCCCTTTGCGTAATTTGACGGCTACCAGACGTGTGTACAATGTAATCCAAGAGCATTGAACCAACCAAGGAGAACACACAAAACATTCGCAACGGGAAGGCTGCCGGTTTTTTTTTGTGGTTTGGTCCAAACTTCAACAAGGCATCATGCAAGGTTGAGCCATGTATGTCCAAGTCTCAAGGGCCCTTTGTCATTGGCATCTTGCAAACACATGGAAACTCCAATTCTTCAGCCCGATAATTAGTTTGTGTGGTTTCAGCAACTTCACAAGCACGAGTTTCCGAATTCAACATGTGGTGGTTTCCAAAAGTGAGGTTTTGTGATGGACGATATTATATTCGGGTATGGATATTCACAGGTCGTGACGGGGTGGTGCAACGCTACAGTAACATGCGCCAGCCATGCCAAACAATTTGCACATGTGTCGCAGCAAGTTTTTTTGCCAGGACCTCGGATAAGTTCAGCACTGTGTGGCTCAGTGGTCGTAACATGTGTCTGCCCGTTCGATTTGTGCGTGTAGCGTGATACGCCGTATCTGACGTGTGTATGACTATTTCCAGTTTCAAAGCACTAGGCAACGATTCCTTTGGACCATCGTGTGACAACATGAGGTGTTCGTGAAGAGCGCTGGTGCACCGTCAGGCTTGTTGACTTCAGCCATGGTGGGTGTTGACAAAATGTGGCCTGTGTCCGCTTTGAAGGACATCTCCGTGGTCCTGGTGACAGTTGGGTTTTGCCAAGTCATTCTTTTGAGCGCACGTTGCCATGGCATGATGACGATGACACGTGGTTTCAAGCCCAGGGGAAGAGGCTGAATGGGTATGTCGCACAGAGTGTCTCCAATGCCACAAGCAGGTTGCTCAGCGCAGCCACCATGGCTATGCAGGAGAGATTGTGCAAGATGTGAAGGTGGATGCACGTTTTCAGTTCAAAGCATTCAGGACCGCGTGCTTTTGATGCCAGCGGTGGCAGACAGACATGCCTTTCTTTGGAACAAACATGTTTCGTGCTCAGCCCGTTCTGCCAGTACTTTGGACACTTGAGGCGAGCCCGGTCTGTCAGGGCAGGTATTTCTGGTTTTGTTCGGCAGGCGGCAATGATAAGTTGTAATTGTCACCGGTCTGCTTGTGCAGCTTGCATGCATTTCAATGCCCTGTGAGGGAACTTGTGCACGTACCTGCCGGGTAGGATGTTTGCGGCCTTTAGGATTTGTTCAATTTGCAATGCATGTCGAAGCCATCGGTCATTTGGGGTGCAAAGTTTGCTCGCGGATTTGCTGGTGATTGAGGTCCTGAAATCGACCGATTTCGAGATCGTCTTCACTGTGTCTGGCAGCTTGCCACATCGAAGCACTCAGCAGGATAGTTCAGCAGGGAATTCTTCCAAGTCACGGATGCTTCGGTTGATTCGCAACATCTTGCTTTTGAGTAGTTCCGTGATGGTGCAGGATGGAAGTTTGGCTTTTTGGCTGAGTCTAGACGACTGCACCAAACAGTTCGACGAGAAGGCAAGATGATCAATGGCCCCAAGACCTTTCGGCACACAATTTACTTAATTTAGTGTTTCGAATTCCCAGGTGCTTATGGAAAAGGTCCTTCGCGACAGAAACAACGATTGGTTTCTGAGCAGCAGCTGGTGGCAGGGAAGGGTCGCCTTTTGCTTCAGGCTTCCAATGGAATTGGGCTGTCTGCAAGGGAGCTTTAACGTGCATCTCGTCTGTTCCACAATGGACAATGGTCACTGTCTAGGCATGACCCTTTGATGCTGCGATGCAGAGGAGAGTGGGCATGAAGGAGCTGGGCTACTCCGAGAATGGTTACAGGCTCTAACATGCGTCAGGACTGTACTTGCAGCACAGGACAAGCTGATGCCCTGTCCTGATGAGGTCTGACTTCAAAGGGGTGGCTGTTGTTTTTCTGCCCTTTGATCAAGATCGGAAGCTCAGGTGAGTTTGCATTTGTTGCAGACCATGTTACAAACTCTGCAGCTCGTGAGTGGCGTTCAGGCAGACAATCACTGCACTCTACTCGGATGGGTCCAAATCTATCCCAACGCCATTGGAGGATGTGCTGAAGGACACATCTCGATGGCAAATCGCAGCCTACAGAACAGCAATGTGTCAGGACGCGCGATCTACAGTTGTCACGGGCAACTGGCTAATGTCTGAAAACACTGCCTCAACTCAGGCCCGCTGGAAGTGGACAGGAATCAGCTGTGCAATCATGCAAGTTGAACTGTGCGAGCTGCAGGTGAAGGTTCCAAACCCAGCCGCGGAGGGTTCACAGACTACAATGTTTTGCAACTGTGTCTAAAAACATGAGGTGAGGGTTCATGCTGATGGCAGCATCGTTGTCAGCAAGCGACAAACGGTTCTCCACCAAGCAATTCCTGGCATGGCCAGAGCGCAGCAGTTACAGAAAGTTCTATGCACACTGGATAGAGATCAGGGCACCGCCCATCTTCCTGGAGCTGTGTGGTCCTGGGCACCAGATGGGCATGTAGCCGTGGCCTCAAGTGTCATGATCGCTTTTTCCATGAGGTCACGAGGTGCTGCCCGCAGAAGTCACATCACATACCTAGGTCAAAGGCACCTTCGTCCTTCAGCCGGATAACACGTTGAGCTGGAAGGCTGGAGAACAGACAAATCTCTCACGCGCGTACAATTCCTCAAGTCCTGTTCAGGATCATCCCAACTCCGGTCGCTGGAACCTCCTTCCAGGCAGGCTTTGCGTTCCGCAACAGGATGAATCTGCATTCTGGCAAGGCGGTAAGCTGAACATCACGTTGTTCGAGGCTAACTTCGTGCTTCGCATTGAAGGCCGTCCATTGCGGAGTTGAATGTTGGCATATTGATGGTGTCTTTAGCCCACTACCGTCATGCAGGAGTTCTTATCAACAATGCGCTGTTGACATGGTTCGGCCAAAAGCAGCTCATATTAGTTGAATGGAAGCGAAGGTAACCGTGCAGTGCAAGAGCTTCCCGACTTTCCCGTTCGAGCACGGACCCTCAGTGAGCGGGGTAGCCACAACCTGATGATTCCTTTGCTTGTGCTCACTCTGCGCTTGAGCTCTTGCCGGTCTAGGATGCCTTAAAGATTAAGAGCTATGTCCTACGCCAGCGAAGGCCGAGCCAAAGCTAGGAACAAAGCTCAAACATAAGAAGCTGAGCAGCGCTGCAATGATGGTCTCCCTCCGCCTTGAAGAGGCCCTGCCCCTCCTAGCTCACACAGTCCGAAGAAGCGCTTGAGAATAGAGCCTAGGGTGCACATCAAGGGACCAATCTTTGGCCCCATAAAGGCAGTTGAGCTTGGCATGTGATGTAGGGCATCTGCAAGGCTATAGCATATTTGGGCGGCAAGGCTGGGTGCCTGTGCTGGGTGCCTTTAAAAGGTATTTGATAAGCTGAGCCGACTTGCAGGAGGTGGAGGATGAGCCTTGGCACAAGCTTGCCAGCTTTCCAGCCAAGACTCTTCCTGCGCCATGCCTTGGAAAGCCATGCCTTAGTCGAGGAACATTTTGAGTTCGCCTTGGAAGACCTTTGAGGTGCCTGTTCCGAACATGTTCTACGGCTTCACAGGCTTGGCTTTCAGGTTTGCTTTCAGAAGGACATTTGTCAAGTGGCGGCGTGAGACTTGATTGACGAAACTGCAAGAGTCTCAGGATACAGCGGCACGAAGGCTGGCATGGAGGCGCGGACTGAGCCTGCGCAACACAGCCAAGCACCAGCCAGCATCCTGTACAAAGAAGGAAGACGCAGCAGATGCAGCAGTTCGTAAGGTGAATCTGAACTACTTGGGCGCCTTCAATCATGATCCCCATGTTGTCGGAGAGGCGACTCTGCAAGAGGAGCAGGTCCAGAGAATTTGAAGGATCAATGCATGCAAAGGATGGCTTCAGCATCGCCCAGTCCCAGGAGTGGAAGAAGGCCTGGCGGAGCCAGGTGAGCATTCAAATTTAACGGGACAGTGGCGGGTGGGAGTCAGAGGCCTTAGCGGAGGAGGCCCGCTTCATCGACCGGGTGTCGCAACGTGAGGCAGTGGAGAGATATGATATTCAAGTGAGACATGTGTCCCGTTCATGTCTAACATGAAATTCATGGACCCACACTTAAATAAACACTGTGCGAAATACAACAGTCGCTATAAGTAGGGGTTCTTCCAAAGCGGGGATGGAGACGCAAAACGAAACGCACCTGAACGCCAAAGGCAAGCCACCTAAAGCCACCCATGGCCAAGGTAAGGGGCTGGAAATATGGGCAAGACAGCACGGAAACTTATGCAAAAAGGGTAATTTAGACGGTTTGGGCTGAACAATGCACGCAAAGCCTTTTGCATGCTTGTCATGCAATGCAGTGCAGGCGCATTTGGCGCATTTTGCTTGGGTTTACCGCATTTTTCCGAGGACCCTAAGCCCCCAAGAAGCCAGCATCATGAGCATCATGGGGCTATCTGGGGCCACCCATTTCCCTCTTGATGCCGCGCATACGAGCACCTAGCACCCATCCAAAATTCTAGGTATGTTGTGGTGCCCAAAAGTGACTTGAGTTTTGACCCCGCAAGATCCATTTGCTAATAGGGGTCGTCGGTCTGTGCTGCACCCCCTATCCGGCTTGGCCGTCACGGTCCAGTGCAGATGCACGCTAAGCCATGCTTATTTAAGGGGCTGCGCCCAGGAGCGGGCAACGCAGGCAAGGCCACCCCTCCTCCCCTCCCCCCGCACCCCTTCATGGAGAACCGAGCCCCAGTGATGCCGATGCACAGCACTCTATCACGGGCTGACTTGCAAGGAAAGACAGATGTGCAGAGATAACGGCAGAGAGACAGAAAGCAGAAAGCAACAAAAAGACGACAGGAACAGTCTGAAAACAAAAGGAAAGACACACACACACACAAGTAAGCAATAACAGAAGAAGGAAATAACGCTGAAGAAGACGACGAAGGACGAGCAACGAAGGACACCTAGAAGGTTAAGTAGTTGGACACAGCAGAAGAAGAGCCAAGTGAACACAAAAGCCAAGAAATAAGTCAAACAATTGCTGAAGATGCGAACAACGGATCTACTACTTTTAGGATTATTATTGCTTTTGTTTACTGTTATCACTCGCAATGTTATTACGACCGTCGTTGTTACAATTATCGTTATCAACACATGCTATCGTTCGCGCTAGTCAATTGAGGTGTTTATGGCGTTGCGAAAGCTCCGAGCACATGGGCTTTGAACCTTCCTGCCCTTTCAAGATCTCCAAATGCCTAGCTGGCTCGGTCGGCATCGTTTGCAAGTGTGGAAAGAGGATCTGACTATGATGTTTGCAGATGGTGGCTGCTTCTCTCATCAGACAGCATGGAGCATTATAGAGCAAGCAGCTCATGCGATCATGTGGTTTGCTACTGTATCGAAAAGCTCAATTGGGTGGGTGGCGCCCGCGAGTTTTGTAGGGTGATAACAGCGTTTGAAAGAACCAGACAGTTTTTGAAGGGCAAGAATTTGCAGCCATTCGCGCTGTCCAAATGCTGTGTTTTTGACAGTATTCCTGCCGTTTCAGTGTGATTGGCGGCTTGTGATACTGACTGACAGATAGCCTCCAAGTGCTGTAATTGGCACTATCCGCAACCTTAAAAGATCAGATGAGCATGATGTTTTTCGAATCGGGGCGGGTGGCCCCCCCACCCAAACAACCCCTTTTGGCCGCGTGATTAGAGGATTTGAAAAAACCAGGTCCGGCACAATAAGTCTTTCCGGTCCCAATATTGCATTTTGCAGTATTCGCACCATTTGGAGATAAGTTTTTTGATGACCATTTTTTGTATGAACTTTCAGCCTCGGACGGCCTCCTAAGACTGCACATCGCTGTACTGGCACTCTCTCAAGAGCGCAGAGTAGCTACGTCCTTCTGTATTGATCGAGATTTTGGCTGGTTGAATTTCTGATAGCCCATCCCCCAGCAGCCACGGAATTGGGCAACATTTGGCTGGTTTCAACTGCAACCTGCATGATGCAGCGCAATGCTCTATGCTGAAATAATTCGGTGGACGTGCATGGGTCGCCTGGCTCACGTGCAGGCAATTGAGCGTTTGACAAAGCTCCTGACCGAGCACATAGCAGCGCCCTGAGAAGATTTGTGAAGATTTTTTTTGCATGCTGCGTGGCTGCATTGTGCACCTCTCCGCAGCCATTAGGTTTTTTTAAGTTTCTGCAAATTTTGTTTAGGCACTGCTGCCATGTCCGCCTTCGTGGCCCTGCCGTATGCGAGCTCAGCCCCTGTGGAGAGGGCCCAATCCCTTCGTGGCTCCGTGGAGGCGCCGGTGCGGCCGCAGGCTTCAGCTTCAGCCTCAGCCTCAGCCTGCA